CGGCCATGGCTCACGGGCCCAGCCGCTCCGCGGCACGTGGGATCTTCCCGGACCGGGGCACGAACCCGCGTCCCCTGCATCAGCAGGCAGACTCTCAACCACTGCGCCATCAGGGAAGCCCTCACGGAGGTTTTTAACAGCGGCAAACAGTGCAGTAAGAGTGAGGAAAAAGAGGACAAACTACAAAGTGGCTGGTGACCTTCAAGAGAGTCAGGGAGTGAGAAGAGCAGATTCCAGATCATAAAGAAGAGATGGCCAGACTCAATTTCTCTTTCAAGGAGGTCCAGGGGTCAGGGCTCAGTGAGCACAGGGACAGGTGGGCTTTAAGCACTGGAGGTGTATTCAGGTGAGGGCGTCAGGAGGAGAGGTGAGTCTGAAAATAATGAATGAGTCTACATTCTCAGAGACAGAAACAATGGGAGAGTGTGAAGTTAGACAAACAGAGGACTCTGAAGTGGGGAAGAGGGAAACCAAGGAAACGTGGGACGGCCTCGGTTTTCTCAGGAATTAGGAGGCAAGACCTGGGAGAGTGTGCGTTGCCCGTAAGGGGGAATATGTTAGGAAATCTACACAAGACGAATGAAGGACGATAAACCGGAGTGAAGGCCCAGCTGAAGCTGAGGAGTATAAGCTTTTGATGAAGCCATTCAGAAGGCACTGTTGTACGATTTTTTTTCTTGGCAATCTTGCTAGGACCCTTTAGCAGAAGCAGTGACAGGGGTACTGTGGTTAGGGCTCGTAAGACGGGAAGAGCAGAAAGGTAGAGGTGTGAGGGAGCGGAATGAGATCAGCGGACAGCTGACGAGAGCACACCGCGCGGCCCGGCCCTGGCTGGGCAGGCTGAGTGTGGCCAGCATAGGTGTGATGGACGAGAAAAACCAGGAGGGCGCAGGAGACCGTTAACAGGGCAGGCAGGGACCCACTCAAGAAGTGAGAGGAGGCTGAGAAACCCAATCCGGGTGAGGGCAAGCACAGAATTTGGAGGCAGAACTCCTGACTTCTAACTATGAAAGGATCAGGTCACAGAGGGTTTTCTACAGGTCAGTTCTTTTCAGTCTGAAAAACAGTCAGAGGAATCTGAATATGCCAAATACCCTGGGATGCTAGGCCACAGAGGAGAGAAGGGAAAATACTCTGTTCCAATAACGAGAACACTTTCCACCTCATTTAAAATGTCGGGCAAGACAGCATTAAAGGTTTCTTGCGAATAAAATTTTGTGATCCTAAGTGTAATGCTGGGGAAAGGGACCAGGTACTGACTGGAATTCCCTGTTGGGTCTGCCTGCCTACTGCATACCCTATAACCCCGTGAAGGGAGCTCGCATCTAGCTTCAGCACCTGGGCCAAGCACAGAGCAGGCTCTCAACATTTACTGTCAAATGAACAAGAGAAAGAATAGAGGAATGGTAGCGTCAGTTTCTGACTAGCCCAAAGAGACTTCTCCCCGGGTACGTGTCCTGTCAATTAAAAAGAATGACAAACCTCAAAGGGAAAGTTAAAATGCGAGCAAGCAGAGAGGACAAGGAGGGGTTGGTTAGATTGCAGATGGCATCCACTCTGGCTCAGGGGTGCTTCCCATCAGTCTCTCGTGTGGTCACACGTGCCACACTGCAGGAGACCTGTCAGCCAGGGGTTAAACTTCCCTGGAGGACTCGGTATTTCTAGAGAGCTGAATTAAGCCACAAACAAATCCTTCCCCTTATTGTGGGGAAAAGGAAAAACCAACCCTGGAGAATGAACCCTTTCCCT